TTATGGATCCCTTGCATCTGAAGACTTGGGCCTGCAAAATTTTCTGAAAAGAAATTGTTTAAATCTCTCCCTTCAGTTTTCTCTGAATGCACCTGAGAAATGTGGTTCCCCTCCACGATGACAAATGGGCTTTCCAATTGTTAGTAATTCTCTGGAGTTAGTTGTTGCCTGTGCTATCTTTCTGAAGGAGGTGGTTCTAGAATAGGGAAACTCTGAACCTTTGCTCCCATTGGATCTGGATGTTGTGGAGGCAAGAAATTTACTACAGAGGGCTTTATTCCTCTGGTTTTCTCCTCTAGAAGCCCTATCCGACATTTACATCATCCCCATACCACTCACTGTTTATAGGAAGGAAGGAAGGGAGGGAGGAAAAGAGAGGGAGGGAAGAAGAAGGGAAGTGGGAAGGAAGGAAGGAAGGAAGGAAGGAAGGAAGGAAGGAAGGAAGGAAGGAAGGAAGGAAGGAAAAGGAAGGAAGGAAGGAAGGAGGGAAGGAAGGAAGGAAGGAAGGAATGGAGGAAGAGAGGGATCAAATTATTTGCCAGTGTCCCACAATTACAAAGTGGTTGGAATGGGATTTAAAACATGTGTCTCTAGGGCTGATATTCTGAACCCTGATATGATATGANGGAAGGAAGGAAGGAAGGAAGGAATGGAGGAAGAGAGGGAAGGAAGGGAGGGAGGGAGAAAGAGAGGAAAAGAGGGAGGGAAAGGGGAAAGGAGGAAGGGGGGAAGGGAAAGGGGAAGGAAGGAAGGGAGGGAGGGAGGAAGGAGGGAAGGAAGGAAGGGAGGGAGGGAAGAAGAGAGGAAAGGAGGGAAGGAAAGGGGAAAGGAGGAAGGGAAAGGGGAGGGAAGGAAAGGAGGGAGGAAGGGAGTGAAAGGGGAAGGAAGTCAGGAAGGAAGGAAGGGGAAGGAAGGGGCAGGGAGGGAGGAACTGATGACCCCTGTTTTATGTGAAACTTTACATGGTATTTGTGGCCATGAGAGAACTTATTATTTTTCTTTACATGAGTTTCTCCCGTAAAATTTAAATTCTTTTAGGAAAGGTAGAGTATATTATTTAAGTGTATATTCCCAAAGATTAGCAGGGTGTCTGTGGCCCCTGGGCACTAAATAAACAGGTACTGAAAACTTGATGTTGGCCAGGTAGTTTTGCTGTCAGGTCCTCATTGCTGCTCCCTTGATTTCAAGCCATAACTGCTTTGTTTTCATCGCCTTCTCGGCTGTAGAATGAGCAATGGTGATTATCATCAGGGTCTTCTTTCCTAAGGACAATTGCCAGGCCAAAATACATAGTATGTGTTTATTTCAGAAACAGGTATAAAGGAGAACATAATCATTTGATATCAGATATAGGTCAGTGATTCTCACACCAGAATGTCTCCAATTTGTTGTTATTGTTTAGTTATAATAATCTTTAATTTCAGGGCACCTGAGTGGCTCGGTTGAGTGTCTGTCTCCTAATTTTTGCTCAGGTCGTAATCCAAGGGTCATGGAATCGAGCGCTGCATCGGTCTCTACACTGAGTGTGGAACCTGCTTGGGATTCTCTCTCTCTCTCTCTCTCTCTCTCTCCCCCCTTCTCTCTCTCCCTCACCCTCTACCTTCCTCCCCAACCTACATGTGCTCTCTCCCTCTCTCTAAAATGACAAAAAGTTATATTTAATTTCACTTAACTTTAAAATACTGTATGACAGAAATAAAATACTTAAGGAGTGGTGAAGTGTTACAAAATTAGCTCAAACAATAAATTTGAAATTAATTGTGTCTAAACATCCTATGTACTAATATCACAAAAAGCAAATTTGGACATTTTACAAACATTTTCCAAAATTCTTACATAATTAGAAGCACATAGACTCTCTTGTAATATTAATACAGTGGTGTTTGAACACATGCATTTAAGAAGTGAAAAATCCCCATGGAAATTCACTTCATAAAATCAACACCCTGCAGTGACCTACACTTTTCCAGATCCTTCATCCAAATCCTCAGCAGCTGAGCTCATTCTGAATGGAATTGCACAAAAAAAGATTACAAAAAATATTAAATAGAAATTTGCAAAATAACTAGTATTTAGAAATATAATTTTAAAGAAAGCAGTCTGGTGAGGAGGCTGATGGGGAAAATCAAGTATTTTACAAAGACTTCTCAATCTATAGGATGGGCTCTAGTTAATTCAGATGATTTAGAAAATGATACCAGGGGCACCTGGGTGGCTTAGTCGGTTAAGCGTCCGACTTTCGCTTGGGTCATGATCTCGCGGTTCGTGGGTTCGAGCCCCGCGTCGGGCTCTGTGCTGACTGCCAGCTCAGAGCCTGGAGCCTATTTCAGAGTCTGTGTCTCCCTCTCTCTCTCTGACCCTCCCCTGCTCACGCTGTCTCTCTCTCTCTCTCTCTCTCTCTCTTAGAAATAAATAAAAATATTTAAAAAAAAAAGACATAGAAAATGATACCAATGTGCCCAGATGCAATTGATAATAATCCAATACTCCTTTTCCTTAATAGTCTAGAGGTCTATGACTAGTCTGTGGTCTAGAGTTTAGATCATAGAGGCAGATTTTAGCTATAAATCGTTTAATAGATTTTAAACAGGAAGTATGAATAAGAAAGTCTGGAGACATAAATTTTTAATAAATCTATCAGACCAGAGGATATGGAATGAGCACTCAAAATGAAGTGATGATGGTCATAATGAGAATTGGGAAATTTTATGTCTTTAAAAATACAGATTTTTTAAAAAATATACATTCACAGGAATGATTTGGAAATGTCCAACAAACCTACATTAGCAGGACAGAAGGAGTTAATGTTTAATGTATTCAATCTACCTAATTTGCAATCTCTCTTCACAACTAGATGGCCTTAGAACTTGTTGAACTGTCTTCCTTTGACATTATAAAAACACTTACCTATTTACCAAGGGTAAGTAAAATAAATTAATATTATGATAAGGTCTGAGGGGCACAATTTTTATGGCATCTGTCCTCCAAGGAGTTAATAAAACTCAATTTCTTTTTAGCGAAAGAAATGAATTTAGAATTTAGTCTAAACTTAAATGTAAATGTGGCTTAGGAATGACACAGTAATACCACTTGGCATTTCTTGAGTTAGCCTGCTCTTTCTACACTGGATAAAAATAAAGAAAAGAAAGCATCTAAAACAGAACCGCCCTATTACAACCCAAATTTGCCCATGAAAGCAGAAATTTTCTGGCCTGCATCTATGCGTTTTTTCCACTTTCCGTAGCCTCCCACACTATAATGACTTATGCATGGAATTTAGGGACTTTATATTTTCTTTTGAGTGCAAAATGAATGCCAACATGGAAAATGTGCACGCTGACCATTTTCAAATGGTCACAGACCTTTGAGAGAACCAGATAGTATCCAGAAAGATATTTGGTCAGGCTAGGGTACCAAATTCTAGTACGTTCCTTAATAAGTCTGCTGGTCTTCACAGGATGGGAATATTTACCTTTCTGGCAAGTGCTTAGTCAAAATAGCTTGAAGTTTTTGGTAGAGACTCAGAATCCTTTTCAATAGACTGAAGTGACCCCGAGCCAGCATAGTAGTTAATCTTGTTTATGGCTGAAATCAATAAGCCAGTCCACGTTATGTGCTGACCGTTCTTGTGTGGAGGAAAAATTAGAAGTGTCTACTCTTTGAATGGGATTTCTCTTTTATGGTCCAATAATTTGGTTTCCTTACGGGGCAACATTTGGATTAGTCAGTTTTGCAAAGTTCAGTTTAATTGGTATAATTTGTTTCCTCGAACTAAGGGGTTTGAATAATTCAAAGCAAAAAGGAGATGGGTACCTGGAATGTGTTTATATTCCACCTTATCTTATGCCTGGTTTTCTGGTTTACTTAAATTTTTGTGGCTAACGTCTAATAGAAGTATACAAATGAAACTCAGAAGCCAAAAAGAAGGATGCGAAATTTCTGAAGAATTGTCCCCATTATTTTATCATGCATACATCTTCTTTTTGGTTCTCTGAGTTCCTACCTGAGGAGTTTAGATTTTATGCACACTAAATATGTGTGGAGGAAAGGAGCACAAGTAGAATCTCATCCCATGGAGACAGTAAAGTTTGTTGGCTATTTAAATTTGGGCCTTAGAACCTCGGCCTAGTGTGAATCCTTCCTAGATGTATCACCTTGGGCAAGTTGTTTAATGTCTCAACAAAATGAGCTTGCCACCTAGTAGTAGCAGTAATAGCATGAGTGTAAATGTATTTATCTTAAGGCATAGGCAGTGGTCTGTGTTTACATTTTCTTATGAATTATGTGTTAATAGGAGCTAAACTAGATTATTCCATGTTTCTTACGCCCTGGAGTAAATACATCCTATTAGTTTGGGATCTGTATTAGCTCTTTCACAAACTGGTGCATTACACATGCCATCCCTCTAGCTCATGTTTTGCATGAGCAGCTCCTGGTGGCCATTGCTGCAATTTAAACCAAACAACAAATAGATTTCTGTAAGGACATGTGTTCACAAAAGTAAAGCAGGAAAAGCATATAAGCTAGAGCAACACATTTCTTCTGGTGGTTTTTATTAAATACTGCAACGCAAATATGTTCTTAGTAGAGTGTCAAACATTCAGGATTTATATCTTCATTCATTAATAGGTCAATCGATCCACCTGCCTTTCAAATGCTGTCAATATTTTTTGACCAGAAATATTAAATGTGAAATTATCTTCTAATATGAGGCTGCCTCTTATGGAAATAACATCATTAAATCTATTGAAAAGAAGCTTTGTAAAATCTCTTACTTAATCTTTCATAGCACAGATTAAGCACTCTCTTTTCCAAGACATATTTTGACTCTAGAATGATTATCTTGAACTACATATATATATTTAATTTTTTCATAGGTGGTGAAATGACAAAATTCACTCTTCTTCAATTGGTGCATATGAAGTAATGTTTCCTCAAGTTACATCCCCTTTAGTGTCAAATGGAACGTATCTCTCAATTTGTTGTTAAACTACGATGACATGTCTGTAGCTATCAGAAAGAGAAGCTGGGAAGAACATGTGACCCAATGGATGGGGCAGCCTTTTAATTCCGATGATTATAACCCAGCATGCCATCATGGACTAGTAGCTGACAGCTCGCAGGCAAGTATGGAAAAAGATGCAACTTTAAATGTGGATCGCAAAGAGAAGTGTGTTTCACTACCAGACTGCTGCCATGGCTCAGAGCTGAGAGACTTTCCTGGGAGGCCAATGGGTCACATTTCAAAGAAGGTGGATGAAAATGACAGCCCCGAAGGTGAAGATCAGTTTCTTTCTCTAGAGGCCAGCACGGAAACACTAGTGCATGTGTCTGATGAGGATACCGATTCTGATCCATGTATTACAGATGAGAAGCCAATTTTAACTACCCAAGGACATAAAACATCAGACCAACATACTATCAGAGGAGGAGGCTCCTTAGTAAAGACACTGCCCGTCATGGAAGGTAACCAAAGTAACTCCTGGGGAGTGGCTGGCGGAGCTGACTTAGCACTGGTAGAAGAAAAGAGGGAGAAAAAAGCTGTTGACATTACAAGTAAAAGCCTGGAGCTTTGTACTGATATAAGCTTAAGCGAAGTAAAAGATGCATCCAAAATAAATGCATGTGACTCTTCAAATGTGAAAGATATTGTGCCTGAGAAGCAATTGCTTAATTCGGCTGTAATTGCTCAGCAACGAAGAAAACTTGACTTCCCTAAAGATGAACATGAAAGAAACACCTGCAGTGTAGTACAGGATGAGTTCTTGGCTATTCCTCGCAAGGGCAGAGGCCTGCCATTATTAAAAACAGATTCTGGAAGCTGCCTTCTACAACCTCCTTCCTGCCCTAATGGAATGTCAGCTGAAAATGGCCTAGAGAAGAGTGGTTTCTCAGAACATCAAAACAAAAGCCTTCCAAAGGTCAACTCAGAAGATGGCATGCAGTGTTTACACTTAAAGGAGACTCTGGCCACCCAGGAACCCACAGATAATCCGGTCAGGCTTCGCAAAAGAAAGGTAAGGCACGTGCACAGATTATCCGGCTTTTGGAATTTTACAAATATCCTTGTTTCCATCATTTATTATTTTGCTAGGATTAGAGAGAGAATGGGTAGATGTTTCTTTTGCCCTATAGTGTAGCTGTATAACTCAAGGATTATCTTCTTGGGGGAAGCATCAAAATATGCAAAAACTAAAATATAATAACCGATTCATTTCACTAATAGTATTTCACATAGTTTGTGAACTGTGCTTTTTGGAATTGTGTCAAAGACAGAATTGGTTTCACTTTCCTTAGATGGAATTAAATAGCCATCAGATAGGTCATAGTTCAAGGCCTAGCTGAAGAGTGTTCTCTAATTTTTAGAAAGAAAGTAATGATATTTTCTTTACTTAATGTCAATTATTTGCACTTATTTATTTTTCCCTTCAAAAAGCATATTTCATCATAATTAAAGTGGTATGAATCACATGTTAAAAATGACCCATTTACATCTACAAAGAGAACAGCATGCCCTACCCCCAAATATTTTGATAAAAATAATAACCTGGCACATTTGCCATCATTAGATGTATCAACTTTTCTTTAACTCTGAACCAAAAAGACCCATAACTGACATTATTTTTTATGGTGAGGCCACTTTAACTAATCCTGTAGGTACCACACTCCCCTATGAAGTTCACAAGTGAGAGAAACAAAGATTGGAGTGAGAGAAACAAATGTTTATTTGAAGCATAGCATAGCTAGTAGATTCTTGACCAAAATTTGTCTTATCTTTAGGATTTTCCCCAAATTCTTCCAACAGTGTAGTGGTTTACTATCCTGATGTAAATACAAATATAATTTCTTCCATAAATGCAGCATGGTCATTGGCATCAGAAACTCCCTGTGGACTGAACAACATCTTTACTCCTCTTTTGATATAATATTAATCTATAATGGCAATTCTAATACAAAACCAGTGTTCTCAGTTCTGTTCAACTGGGGCTATGTACAATGAGGAAAGAAAGCAATCTCTAACTCTTTGTGCTGAAAAAAACAAAAAAACAAAGAAAAAAAACAAAACAAAAAAAAACCCTCTGGTTTCCATAAACTGTGGTTTTGCCAACAAACTAGATAAGTAACGTGTCATAAGTTAGTTTCAATGAAGTCAACGACCTGACAGCGAAGATCATATATATTGTATTGAAATATTAATGCTCTGTACAGTTGTTATGATTGGCGTGCTCAGGTCACTTTTCCAGAAATGTCATATATCCTATCAAATCTGCTGGGAATGTAATAATGACATAAGAAATTATTAATCGACCTATGACATAGCTCCCCTAAAATAAGACAAACCCTGCCCAACTGCCGACAAACATTAAACATTCCAGAAACATATGCTCACCACTTGGACATTTATATCAATACTAAGAGTGCTGGAAAGAATTTTCTCTTGGACATGTCACTATAGCATGGTTACATTGTGAGCGATATAATTATAACCTATTTACAAGTTCTAACTTAAATATTCTATTTTAAGCATTTCATCATTCTAAAGTGTTATGGCATTGTCTGGTGGAATATTTGCTTTGACTCTACAGTTCATTTGGGATGCTTTGTAATAAACAGATTAAATGCAAAATTTCAAGTTAGGAATTTACCCTGGAAAAGTATCATTATGGGATAAATCTCTATAACCAAAGTCTGTAGGAATTCCTGTTCTATTTGATAGTGAATGAGTGTTAAAATACCTTTGAATTGGCAATTAGCCATTTTAGAACTTTACCAAAGAAAATAGTAATGCAAGCTCATAAATGTGCAGAAATGTTTATCTTTGTATTGTGGGTTACTGACAAAAAAGAACTTAAATTTCCATCAATAAAGAATGTTTAATTATTGTTTATCTAGACTTTGGAATGCTATGGAGTCATTAAAAGATAGAGGGAGACCCATGTGCACTAACTGAATGATCTCATAATATAGTATATGTGGAAAAAGACAGTGGCAGACCTGTATGTATAGTAAATGCCAACCTTATATGACAAAATGTCTATATATAGATAAATATATAAAATAAATAAGAACAGGGTATAAACTTCTCCATATGATTTTAAAAGACTATGCAAAAATCTGGCTATCTAGGCATAAAATTGTTAATAGCCGTTATTTTGAGAGAATGGATTAAACATATAGAAGCAGGGGATTTTCCCTTTTTGCCCTACATAATTGTTATAAAAGGTGATAGAACTATGGGTGAAATGCATACAACCAACAGAAGTACAAGGGCAATGTAATATTAAACACATAAAGTATTTGGAACATGTTCTGCATGGCATGAAATGACCTTTATATAGTTATTATGAGTATCATTACTTCTGTGAAATAGAAACAAGTATGTATAAAGTTTTTCAAAATATTAACAAGAACTCTAGTCAACTACTCCATTCCTAATACTAGTGCATATCATTAAAAACAGCTAAGTCTTTTGGGGAGACACACAAGCCACATTTACATGTCTAAGGTGTTAGGTACCAGATGCTGAAAAGAATTTGCTTCATTGTCCATGTCTTTAAAACTATTTGTCAGCCATGGTGACAGCTTTAAGATTAGTGCATGAAAAGGTGAGTAGAATATAAGCTAATAAAATTTTAAGAACTTTAATCATCTTACTATCTGATGGTCCTATGAGTGAGCCAAATCCTTCACTGAATTCATGAGCATGATTTTTTTTTGGGGGGGGGGGTCAGGATATAATCAAGGTTCTAAGACTTGAAAAAAGAAAAGAGAAGAAAACTCAAGTAGAACTTGTACGAGTGATCCTTAGAATGTACTCAAATAGCATTGTACTAGAGATATCATTGTATTTTAGCACATCATCATTTCCTGAAACCTATAAATCTTGCCAGGCATTCACTGTTTCACATGCTGTATTTTTTTGTTGTTTTCCGATGTTATCTCTGGCCATCCAAGGATAGCTACACATATTTTTATTAAGTGTCCCAAGTGGAGAGGACAACGTTTGTAGTATACATAAATATTAATCTTTTAAGCTAATAATTCTAAACATGATGAAATATATAATTAAAGTGAAGCCAATGAAATCAAAGGAAAACCAAGTGGATTAGGAGCAGACATAAGTAAATGAGTCAGAAGGTCGTATGGCAGATGACCAGCACTTATAGAGTGTGGGTGGGTCCTTGGGGTAAGGCAGCTGGTTCAGAGCAATTCTCAGAGACAAATTCCACAGAAATCTGGAGGAGGGAGGCACTCTAAGAAGTGGTCTCTCTAAACCAAATGAGATGTGAAGATGGAAAATATGTAGGGAAAGGCTTGAGGTTAGACTTTTTTAAAGAACTAGTGTATTTGTTCTTGATGGCGGTTAGCTAATTAAAGAGATTCCAACATTCAGTCTTCTCTAGAGACTATTTAAATAGTCCCCCAAGTTTGGCATAACCGTAATAGTTACATAAATGTATGAGCATATTTTTATTTGCTCACATAAAACATAATCTGTATTACAAAGCAATATAAACTCTAGAATATAATGCAAAAGTGATCTGAACCTTGGGAAGACACCTGATTCCACAGTCGAACAAAAATCTCATATTCCAATCAATAAACTAAATTGTATAACTGTTGCTAGAGTTTTGACTGCTGTCATAGAAAAACAGCATAAAAGTAGTTTAAATATAACATCTTTTTCTCACATACACATAATAATTGGGGATAAATAGTACTAGACCAATATGTAGCCTCTGTTTTCACAGCCCCAGACCCCTTCCATCTAACTGCTCCACCTCCTCGAACCCTTATTGATAGTCAAGTCAGTGGGAAGAGGAGGGAGTGCAGGGATGGCCACAGTCCTGTGTAAAGGCAGGACCCAGAAGGTGCACACTTCTTTTTCTCTCACATTTCATGTGCTAGGATGTAGTTACATGGGCACACCTAGCAATAAGGGCTGAGACATGGAGTCTGCATTCTGGGCAAGCAGGTGTCTGTTAAAAATTGTATTATTAAAGAAGGAGAAATTTTATATTGGGTTATCACTTATACCATTAAATATGTTGAGGAGTAGCACCCTAACAAATTTTTTTCTAGTATATCATGGCCTGTGATGAAAGGAATGAACAGGTTGCTGTATGTTAGGTGGTATTTTGTATAAATACTTGATTTAATTTCACACTACAGAATACCTTTCTGTGTTAGGAAACTTTTCAAAGTGATGTTGAATAAATGGTACACTGTTTATGGAAAAGTCACCAGAAACAAAACATTATACAATATATACCGTACTTTATCTCTGGACAAATTTAATACATTAATTAGAAACAGCTGATAAAATCAAGTATTTTCTCCTTACCCTATCTCTAAAATATGTATAAATTCAGTAAAAGCACATTTCTACTTGAAATGACCTTCTCATTCCTTTCTATGACCTTCTTGTTTTTTTCTGTGTCCTGACTGCCTCTGTGGGAGCCTTGTAGCATTAGGAGGCTGTCATTGACCGGTGGGTGACATAAAGAACATTATAAATTATGGAGAAGATAGAAATGACCAAGATAGGAAGCCAGCTGGGAGAATACAAAAGCGAAGGAAAAAATTGTCTAAGAAATAAAAAATAAAAGGATGTTTAAGCTAAAGACCCCAGATATGTAAATGAAAGTAGGGACTAGTGGAAGAATTAGATTTTGTTAATAAGCCTACTATCATTTTACAAAAAAGGAAGGAATACAAAGCAGGGTAAGTATATATAACTCTGCAGATAGATTCATAATAACAGCATGCTCTTCTGCTAAGTTCACAGGGTTTTTAAACAGATAGTCCTGTTGAGTAGATTGTATTGTTTTTAAACTTTGTTTTCCTGGCTCAAGGATAAGGACTGGCAGAGGAAAATCATTACCAGGTAGAAAGGGGGCATGTAGAAAGATATCACTAGGTCTTCCCAGCCATATTTTAGCTGGGTTTGCATCTCAGGTACATCTGGCAACTTTGAGAGCAGCTCATTTTGTGTTGTTAGGTCACTGAAAACCAT